TTTTTAGGAGCGAAGCTCCTTAAGGCGTGGGCTGTGCGTCCCCTGTATGTAGCCACCTCTCGTTCAGTTCTAAGTATTACGCTAGCCACCGCCCGATCTAAAGGGTACAGCCATATCCATCCGTCCATCCGTCCATCCGTCCGTCCATCCATCCATCCATCCATCCATCCATCCATCCATCCGTCCGTCCGTCCGTCCGTCCGTCCGTCCGTCCGTCCGTCCATCCGTCCGTCCGTCCGTCCGTCCGTCTATCCGTCCATCCGTCCGTCCATCCGTCCAAAAGATGCAAGATGTTATAAACTAGACGGCGGTACGTGTAGTTGATTATGAAAGATGCGAGGTGTTATAAAATAGGAATGATGCCACATATGGCGCGTGTCATCGTTCGATATAGTGCGGCGACGTACGCTAGGGGGAGCGTTGCAATAAAATCGAGTGGGCAAAATGTACGGAGGATTCATGGTTTACCAGGTTTACCTCCGGAGCTTCGCCCACTCATCATCATTCACTTCGTGTATATGGCGGCATTTTTTTGTTTGTTTCATGACGCAGCTAAAGTACAGTGTACAAGCCAAGGTTTTTGCTTCAAAAAAAGAAAAAGAAAGTTGAAGCAAGCCCGTGTTTTGTGGCCTAGAAACATCGAGCAAGGCGCTCAATATTAGGCACTGTACAGGAGATAACTGGGCGAGGATGTCAACAACGACAAAACTAGAGATAGAAGGTGTACGGGTACTCGTATCTTGTCGGTGCTTGCAGCAAAGCCGTGCATCATCGCACCCCGACCCAAACGTTGAAAGCGTCGGGAACAATGACCCATGGGCGTGACGACGGGCGGTGAGAAATAGTGTAATCGCCCGAAAAACTACTCTCGCCACAAGCAAAAGGAAAACACGAAGACACCAACCACACGAGGCGAAAACGTTGCGCTTGTGGGCAGGACCCAGCCATCGCGGCGTTGTACTCTCTACAGGAACAGGAATATATATCCTGCGATCGACACCGTCCCCGCCGAACGTTCGGCCAGAATCGGGCCTTTGTTCCGTGTAGTGGTGGGCGGATCGCGAAACGGCGTCTTTCTGGCTCGTTTGCCAGCTCACGCGCGAAGATAAACGGGATTCGTGGCCCGGGAGCGAGCGTATTTAGTACGCCGCACTTGTGCGAGAATCGGTGGAGGAGTGTGGGCAGTGTATTGTGAAGGTGGGCGAGTAGATAACTGTTCTATCGTGGGGACCGTGGGGGTCTGAGGAGGATGAGAAGAAGGGAAAAAAATGCCCCGCATCTCCACGAAGTGAAGATGACGAGTGGGTGGAGCTAGTTTCTATAAGGTGCATAATGTATACGCTGACGTCGCCGACTAGTATAAAAGATGAACTGACGGACGTACGGATAGATGGATGGATGGATGGACGAATGCACAGATAGACGGACAGACGCACGAATGGATGGCCATACGCACGGACGGACAGGTGGCTCTGGTGAATTAGTCTATTTTAAATGGGAGTGCTTTTATTAGTCGGGCTATGTCAGGCATCCGTCGGGATCCGTCCACCGGCTTCTCCCATAGCAAAAGCTGCGGGCGCACACGCTTACACTCGCCCCTAGCAACCAGAGCATGTGGCGTGAGAGAGTGTAAAATATGGTAGGCGCAGTGCTTCATCGCTCCTTCTCTCGCCGTTCACTCTCTCTACTATATTCGCCCCACTCTCCCGTCCACTCACGCCTCACTCTCAACCGTTCGCTGGCTAAGCGCCTCTCAAGAACATCCGGATGTGTGGGCTCGAGACGCCGCTGTGAAACGCTAACGCCGAGCCGAGAACGCTGTTTGTTTCGTTCACTTCGTGGTATTTTTAACTGTGCACTCTAGATACTAGAGCTGGAAACGCATACGGCGTTTCTCACCCAATTCTCTACACATCAATAGTAAGGAGAAGTGGGAGGCTGCTATGTGCAGCTCGGCGCCCGAGGTCCAGGACGAGATCTTGGATTGGGCCATGAGGCTAGCGGAGACCTACGTTGGGTAGGCTCCTCTGACACTCCAAGACCGTATCTTTCCCTCTTGGGATAAATAAAGTTTTTCTCCTCCTCCTCTCGCGACAGAAAAACGCCACGTGCGGCGAACGGCGCTATTGGCTGCACAGTGTAGAAAAAAAAGAAAACATTATTCTTCTAACGCTGGTTTCTCACTTGCGAAACGCTGTTATGAACGCAACGCAATGCATTCGCATTTCCTCACGATTACCTTCGAGGAGGTGGGGGCATTTTTTTTTTTAGCCCGATGCGTACGTATGTGCGCGCAGATGTTCATTACCTGAGCTACGACTGTGCACTGCGTGGCACGGATCGTAGCCGGATGGACATAGTGAGGTGTTAAGGTGCTTCGCTCCTGAAAGATGAAGAAGATGAAGACAGTCAAGGGAATAAATGGATAGCCAGATTGCACCCGGTTTGCTGCCCAATACACGAAGGGAGAAGAAAGGCAGGAAAAGAACCGTGAAAGGAAGAAGGAACGAAATGACAACTAATACGACCGCATGCACAGCAGCCCTCGCCGCACATTTGGAGAAAGTTTCAGACTGCGAACTGTCGAAAAGTATGGTTTGAAGGGTTGCTGCTTGGGTGACTTGGTTATCCATAATTGTAGCGGGTATTAGCGCTTAACATAAAAGAAACCCGATGCAAACATAGAGAGAGGTATACGAGCCTACCTGTCTCTGCACCTGTACAGTGTTTCTTTTATATGTTCGACGCTAATACCTGCTACATGTACTGACTTCGACTGTCCCAGGTGAAGTAGAATGCGATCTACGATGATAATGAAGGCTTGCAAGGACTGACTCTTAAAGTATCCAGGACTTGCACAGGGCTTCGAACTATTAGGGTTGATGGATTACCATTATTGCGCACTCGTAAGAGACGGTTACACTGCTTGTCCTCGCGATTCAAACCTACGTGTCAGCGCAGTGTAGAGGTCGTAGAGAGACATAATGCAAAGCACCACTCTCTTGAGGTCGAGGAGGAGATGGAAGGAGAGGCTGGAAGGTCAACCGGGCGTGCGTCCGGTCTGCTGTAAACACTGAAAATGATTGTTCACTTTCTCCCTCTTCCTTGCTCTATCTCTCCCTATCCCCGAGTATTCATGGGTTATTCTTCACTCTACATCAAATAAACGTTTCTTACGTTCGTCGACTTAGTTTAAGCGAACACTCCGCACAAGTGAAAAGAAGCAATCAGTGGCTGCCATATCATGTGGTTGGCAGTATCGGTAAACTGTGTGGCTGGTCGATCAATCAATCAATCAATCAATTAGTTTATTCATTTCATACACCAAACGAAGGATGAAACTTATTGTTTGGATAGTTGATTTGTGCTGTCTCTTCCCCCCTTGAATCCTTCACTCCCTTCCTCTTTCTCTGTTCCCGAGCACTGATGGATTATTCTTCACTAAGCGTGATAAAGCGTGCTCGTGCAAACAAGGCGTTTCATTTCAGGTGGAAACATACTCACGCACAACCTCAACATGCAAGGAATTTAGAGGCGAGTAAGTTCTACAAAGAGCTAAAAAACTATATTTCATAAAATTGTCAATGTGCCTTGTTTGGTTGTGGTTGAAGGTGCTATTGAAGCTTCTGTGGTAGCTGCTGAAAAAAGTGTAATCACGGGACGAGCGCACGCACGAAAACATATCAGACGGGAGTTCGGAGTGTGTCGTTTCAAGCTTGTTACCATCGAGGGCCACGAAAAGTACAGCGACAGAAGATGGAAGGAATCCTCGAACGTCATTATAACTTTTACTTGAGAGAGTGAACAAAACAAAGAAAAGAAACAAAGGAACGCCTCAGACGACTTATTCAAAAAAATATAAAGGCACTGAAGTGACGCGAAATCGGCAAAAAAAGGTCTGAGCGAAAGACCGCGCAGTCGCAGGAAATGAGGCCTATATTCTGTGCGCTTGACACGACGGGCAGCAGTCGGCGCGGAATCGTCCACTTTTCTCGTATCGAACCAGCACCGAAGAATGCTCGAAGTTGGCGCTTATTCAAGTGATCGGCACGTCTTCATGTAAAGCCGCGGAGTGGGAGATTTCAGTCTGTCGACTTAAACTGCCTATTTAAACTGCACGCATGGCAAGGCACTCTTAACACTCTCTCCTCGTAGTCAACCAACCATTTCGTTATTTTTTTCTTGTTTTTTGTATGTTGCGTTTAAAGGCATGAAGCTGCATGTTCGGTTGGGCCTGGCGGTTGTTGTATACGGTTCATTTGACAACGACACTTTAAAACGGGCTGTGATGCAGTAAACCTGAGCGAAGCGTGCAAAATGGGAGTGCATGGATGAACTGCTGACGACGTAGCCGAAGAGCGACCCACAGGTCGCGGGATCGAATCCCGGCTGCGGCGACTGCATTTTTGATGGAGGTGAAAATGCTGTAGGCATGTGTACTCAGATTTGGGCGCACGTCAAGAAACCCCAGGTGGTCGAAATTTTCGGAACCCTCCACTACGGCGTCTCTCATAATCGTGTGGTGGTTTTGGACCCCATATCAATCAATCAATCAATCAACCTGAAAAGCGAGATACTATAAGGTACATACTATTAAATGAGAAGTGCGTAAAAGAAAGATACATTAAAGATACACAAGATAAATGGCAGGTGATTTGAATGTAGCAATTGTAAATTGATATATGCATGATTAGCTAGTATCGCATGGCCAGCTATAGTATCGGCTCGATCACACAATCCAGGGTGGTAGGAGCAGGGTGCTTGATCGACACGCAATGGTACTCCCCGGGCTACTATATGGCTGGTATACTTGCAAGTGAACTTACAGGTGAACTTACATGTGAAGTGAGAAGAAACTTCATTCTATCTATATATAGGGAGTATATGGTATGTGGCCCTGTGCGAGCCACCCCTCACAAATACTGAAGGCGCTCATCATTACAGAAGCCCATTGGCGTCCAACGCGACTCGGGCTCGGTTGACCAGACCCTCCGGCTCACCTGGTCGGAGCAGCCGAGCAGGGTCGCCTCCCAGTTTTCCCGGGTGGGTTGGGTTTGGGGTGCGGCGAGGGATTGACTGCCATGCCCACACCATGTGGAAGATGTCCGAAGACTTCTCCGCACAGTGTGGGCATTTTCCTGTACAGGCAGGATCCAGGTATTGGAAAACTGCCGAGCACAGCAGCGTTTAGTGTAAAGTTGGAGGAGTAAACGCTCCGCCGCCTTTGTTAGGCCCTCATAGGGTTTAGGATAAATTGAATGGCTGAATCGGTAGCTTTCTCTAATTTATTGAAAAGTTAAAGCTGGATTACGTTCGAGACTCATTTCGGAAGGTTCTGAAGGCGTTACCCGGAGAGTGAGCGCGTGGGCAACGTGGTGGTACTTACAAGTGTGTTTAGAAAAAGTTGGTAACGATTTAGAGTACGATGTACTCAACTATGGGAGAGCAGAAAGCCGTCCCGTGTAGCACATAAAGCAAGTGAACGAGAAGCGAATGAGTCGCATAGGACGGAAAATGCTGCGGGAGCTCACACACTGCTGAAGTTGAAATGACCGGCGCAAATGTTCGCACAGGGATAGGCGATTCAAGTTCACACATGTGTACTATAGCCCAACGGCAAACACTGGCGGAGTTTGTGACTAGACAACATCACGTTTCGTGTAACGCTGACTTTTTAGTTTGAAAGGCAACATTTTACAGCCGAGCTGTTATAACCGCCGTTTGTGCATTTAGCAATGTTGACAAAAAACACTCGTCATCGTGCGAACGAGCGCTCTCTTCCGTGCCTTCGTCCTCTTCTGCTTCGTTCTCCGAGCCTATTTGCCCAACATGGCATGAAATAACTCGGATAGGTGCACTTTAAAAATAATCGAGTATTTGGGGAGTGTTCCTGCCGCGCATCAATAATCACCATCTACTTCGAGTAATTTCCGCGCGTTATCACCAGGGTTTTGGTAGTTCGATGTCACGAACGGCGCGCGCGTTATCAGTGTGACATAGCATGCAATCTTGAAAAGAAAGTGACCAGCGCTGGGTTTTTCAAGAAAGGAAACGCGAGCAAGTCAGATGATAATTGTTGTGTAGAAGAACTACTCCTCCAAAAACTTCGTTTCCATCTTAGAGTGTGAGACACTAGCACAGAGAAAGAAAGATAGGCATGGAGAGGAAGAAAAGTCAGAAATAAATAAAGAAAGAGACAGAAAGAAGTACACAGAGAGTGCGAGAAATATATCAAAATAAACGACACAGAAGAGACATAAAAACAAACAGATCAAGACAGAAAGGAAAAGAAAGAATGAAAAATCAAGAGCACACACAAAAAGGGAGAAAGAGAGCGAAATAGATAGAAAGAAAGAGAGGAAAAAAGAGGTAGCAAGAAGTATAGATAGCTAATTGAACCATACTTGGCGCTGTGAATACCAAGTGGTCACCAGTCAAGCCCTATCGATAACCAGCCAATACTCGTGATTTAAAACGGAATCATACGAACACTTCGTGCATCGTTGCGTCAATGCTCGTGTGCCTATAGTCAAACCAAGAACAGCTGAGAGCCGAATGGCTTTGCTTTACCCCGCAGCCTTGCGCGACCTGATGCAAACTGAGCAAATTCTTGTTTTTTTAATATGTTGGGATCATCCCAAAGCTGCATATTATTCGATCGACCCGCGCTTTTCACCCTTTATTTTCTTGTCTATCTGATGGGTTCTGCGGTGCATAGCAAGTTTGCTGTGCACATATTTCACCTGGGTCTTGCGTAGTTAACTCGTTTCTACGTTCAGGGTATGATTATAGCTTGCTGACTGCATTTCCCTCTCATCCGAAACGTTCGATGCTAATGCGTGCACTTTTGACCCCAATGCAGGGATGGCAGAAAGGACGAAATAAGTGAAGAAGAAAGTTGACAGAATAAAAAAAGAAATGAGTAACGATACTCGACCTTTCCTTTCGCAAAACTGTCTTCCCACTCAACCACATTTTGTCGGTTTTTTATTTATGTTTTTTGTAATTCTGTTATTTCGTGAGTGCGCGTATGCAGGGAGTCGGAGGTTGGTTCCAAGACGAATGACTTGCCTTGTACTCGTGATACTACATGAAATGATCTCAACACCAGTTTGCGGAAGTGCGTTTCCTGGGCATTAGCCCCTTCCCTTTTCTCTATAGCATAGGAACTATACGTAAGGAAGAAGAAAGCGCCGAAAAGTACGTAGAACGCGCGTTGAAATAGATGGCCGCTGCTGGTACTGCTTCAGCAGCCCCTTGCGATGCCTCGTCTATAGACTTCGCGCGCCTGCTGATTACGTTATGCGAAACGCATATGCTTGGTTTTTCTCGTAGTGCGAATATGCCGTTGCTTCGTTTATTTATTTTCCTTTATGCGGTGATCACAGTCTATTCACGTACAGGCAGCAAAGCGAGAAATTCTCCACGCCATTCTCCTCCAGAAACGATGGATAAAAAAAAAAGTAATCTTCATGGCGCGTGAGTCAAACCTCGTCGTCAGGTCATTCATACAGCAAGCACATACGGCCGCACGTCAAGCGGCGACTGGCTGTCGGATTATATTGGCTGACGCAGTCGTATGATCGTTGAACGGTGATGATTCGCGCCGGAAAGCGGTATTTGGGAGTGACAGCCTCTTGCCTGCGCAACGGCTTAAACAGTATAAAGATTAAAAAATATGCAGTGATCGAATGATAGGCGTTCAATCGGAACAATCGTCAATGGACTGGGCTAAGAACGACAGAGCCGCTGACCCGCAGGTGGTGCAATGCCCGGGAGGCGTTGCTTGGCAACCTCCTACACTCAGGTATCGCGACTTGCATGCGAAATTTTACGAAGGCGTGTTTAAAAAGCGAACGAAGGAGCATACTCGGAGAAAGGTTTAGCGTACCTTGCTAAAAGAAAAGAGACATAGTTTAATGACTGCATGTAGTAAATGTGACGGTGTTCTTAGAACGAAAAAAAAAAACTGCTAGTGTTAATCACTTTGATGTTGTCTTTCTCGACTGTATTAATTTTGTACTTTTTTAATAGTGAGTAATATACCTTGTATTTTTGTCTGTGTAGCAGTGTTGTTTATAAGAGTGTTTCGATAAATTGAAGCCCATCATTGTGGTGTAGCGGTTCAGGTGCTCTGCTACTGACACGAAGTTCGCAGGTTCGATCCGAGCCATGGCCATCGCAATTCAATGGTGGTGGAACGTTACGGGGCCCGTGTACTGTGGGATGTCACCATCATTATCATCATCATCAACCTGACTACGCCCACTGCAGGGCAAAGGCCACTCCTATACATTATCCACCAATCAACCCGGTTTCATGCTTTCAGTTGCCACTTTATACCCGCAAAGTTTTTATTCTCATCGGCCCACCAAACTTTTTGTCTCACATTTGTAGGTTTGCCTTCTTTGGGAATCCTTCCGTGGGCATCCGTGGAATCTCAGCGCGTGTTAAAACAACACTAGAAGGACAAAAGTACAGGGCCCCTCCACTACACGGCGTTTCTCATAGTTATGTCGTGGTTTTGAGGCGTAAAACGCCTGATGTTTCTATTATTTATTGAACTGAAACTTGCCTTTCGGATGAAGCATTGCTCATTATGAGGTTGTGGTTTTGACATGTAAAGCCGCGCAGCTATTTTTTGTTCTCAAAACTTTATTTGAAATACAAAAGTGTACTAGTTTTCACTTCGCGCATGTTCATAATCAAAGCGCGGGCCGTTTGTGACCAGTAACACCTGCGTAGGCTCGTAATTTCTCAAGTTGTTGTTTTTCTTCAGCATTATTGCAAGTGCAAAAGTAGATTCAATGGTGTTAGTGTTATTGATTACCATAAGTGGACGGCTTGCAAAATTTTCTCCTTATCGTTTTTTTTACTTCAGTGCCTAGCACTTCTCACGCTCTCTGCTTGAGGACAGAGTGCTGGAAGCTGTGAGAAATATTAACGTCAATACCTAAACTTGCGGGCAGAGGGAAATAGAGAAAAAGAAGCTATCTGCCTTATTCAGGTTTACTTGTGGAAGGGGGTGAAACCTCGTCAATATAAACCAATGTCAGTGTCGCTGGATGATCTTTAATTATTAATATATATATATATTATTATTATTATTATTATTATTATTATTATTATTATTATTATTATTATTATTATTATTATTATTATTATTATTATTATTATTATTATTATTATTATTATTATTATTATTATTATTATTATTATTATTATTATTTTACTTCAGGATATGAAAAGCTGTTCCTGAAGTGAATTTGGAGGCATTCGTAAGTCGTAAGGCATTCTTCAGTTCTATCGGTAGTTGATGCTGTGATACGTTTCCCTTTGTTAAATTCGGTGTCTGTTAATTTATTTATTTATTTATCTATTTATTTACTAATGGTCGTTGTCCGATGTTGTGTGTGTCTTCGATTTTTTGTTGCGTGAAGGAAGAAAGTATTGAGGGCTCGTTTATTTGTTTAACGCTGCGGTGATAATAACCGCTTATCTGCCAGGTTTTAAATAACGTTATATTTTATTTTCTTGTTTCACAGTAGCGCACTGCAATCGCTACGTATGCTATCAACTAGTGCCAAGCTTAGTTCTAGCCACCATGTGTCATCCTGCAGCACTTCACATGGGACACAAGCGCCCGAAATGAAATTATAGCTAGAATATTACTGCGTACGTGCGTATACTAGCCTTATCCCGCAGCCATGCTGACACGATTAATGTGTTCCCGCTCCCACTCCACGACGCACGAAGCGTCCGCCTGTTCCAAACACGAAATCCGTGCGGTTCAGACGAATCAGCATACGCACCATGGATAATTCGTCGGGCTAATAAAATTAAAGCACTGATCACACCACAGTAGCGCAAGCCTAGGAGCAACGATGCGAGGCCTCCGGTGACAGGAGCAACGCACTCCGCTGGTATACACATGCGTGTACGAAAATTAAAGCGACGCAACGCATGCACAGACGCGCACGCATTCAGGCTGCAAGTCAAATATGAACCTCCATGATCCCACCATAGTAGCGCAAGTTTAGGAGGAACGATGCGAGGCCTCCTGTGACAGAAGCAACGCACTCCGCCGGTAATACACGATCGCTAGTATACGAAAATTAAAGCGACACAACGCACAGAC